CTGTCATCCAGGCTGGAGTGCAATGGTGTGATCTCAGCTCTATGCAACCTCCGCCTCCCGTGTTCAAGTGATTCTCTTGCCTCAGCCTCCCGAGTAGCTGGGACTAAAGGTGCATGCCACCACGCCCAGCTAATTTTTGTATTTTTAGTAGAGACATGGTTTCTCCATGTTGGCCAGGCTGGTCTCGAACTCATGACTCAGGTGATCTGCCCACCTCAGCCTCCCACAGTGCTGGGATTATAGTCATATTTTAACAATTATTAGCCACAGCATATTTTAACAATTTGAAGCAGTACCAGAGGATAGAATGTAGAAAGTTTATGTGGTCCCTATCTTACTACCCCATGGTAAACTTCTTTTGGCAGTTGTGTGTGTTTCCTTCCAGATTTGTTTGGTACATATATTAGATGTTTATTAGATGAAACTGGAATATATATATTTATACATGTTAAGTTTAAGGCTGAAGTGGAGAGATGCTTGAAACCAGGAGGTCAAGGCTACAGTGAGCCATGATTGTACCACTGTACTCCAGCCTGGGTGAGAAAAAAATAAGAGAAAACAGAAGTTGACTTTAAGATATATGTGTATATATCTTATTCTGCAGCTTGTTCTGTTTACTTAAATATATTCGACATTTTTCTGTGTTATATGCAGGTCTGCTTCATTCTTTTAACGGTCTGTGTAGTATCCTAGTTCCATATGTACATTAGGTGGTGTATAGTTTTTTTATTCCAGACACTGCTGCAGTAACTGTTCTTGTTCTTTTTGCACTCATGTTAGTGGTTATGTAGGATAGATTCCTAGAAGCAGCACTTTTGGCATGTGTATTTTACATTTTAGGTGGAAACTGACCTTTAGAATAATGTTATAAAAATTATCTGTAATTGGCCTGACGTAGTGGCTCACGCCTATAATCCCAGCACTTTGGGAGGCCAAGGTGGGCAGATCACTTGAGGCCAGGAGTTCAACACCAGCCTGGGCAACATGGCGAAACTGTCTCTACTAAAAATACGAAAAGTAACCAGAAGCTGCGCGCTTGTAATTCCAGCTGCTCAGGAGGCAGAGGCACTAGAATCACTTGAGCCTGGGAGGTGGGGGTTGCAATGATCCAAGACCACACCAATGCACTCCAGCCTGGGCAACAGAGGAAGACTCTGTCTCAAAATAAATCAATAAAATTTAAATTTTTAAAAATCACCTATAATTATCCTCATCCAGTTTTATTCCACCACACAACTATTTTCATCTTTGTGTGTTCTCCTTCCTCTTTTGTTCACTTATGCATTTTTTCCAAGATATGCATGCTGGGTTTGGGGGTGACTTTTTTCTGTTTTAATTTCTAAAAACATTTAACCTTGTTGCCATGTCATCTTTATGATTAACTACTTAGTGACTACATAATACTCAGTGAAATAGTTGTGTCCTCATTGGCCAAATCATTTTACCTGTGTACATTTGGGTTGCTCCCATTTCTTTTTTTAGAGACAGAGTCTCTGTCGCCCAGGCTGGAGTGCAGTGGTGCAAACTCAGCTCACTGCAACTTTGCCTCCCAGGTTCAAGTGATTTTCCTGCCTCAGCTTCCTGAGTAGCTGGGATTACAGGCATGTATCATCACACCTGGCTAATTTTTGTTGTTTTTATTAGAGATGGGGTTTTGCCATGTTGTCCAGGCTGGTCTTGAACTCCTGACCTCAGGTAATCCACCCGCCTCAGCCTCCCAAAGTGCTGGGATTGCAGGCATGAGCCACCACACCTGGCTGCTTTCATTTTTTAATTAGTAGAAATAGTGCTGTGATGATGCTTCTGTGAATGTCTGGTTTTGTTTTAACTTATTAGATTATTTCCTCAGAATAAAATTCTCAGGAAAATAATTTCTGAGGCAGAGGGACCAATGCTTTTATGTCCTTGCAATATATTCAATATATTGTCCTGTAGCTTTTTCAAGATTGTTTTGCCCATGTACCTGCCAGTTTTGTAATAACAATACCAGCATTTAAAAAGAAACCTTAGGCTGGTCGTGGTGGCTCACACCTATAATCCCAGCACTTTGGGAGGCTGAGGCGGGCAGATCACGAGGTCAAGAGATCAAGACCATCCTGGCCAACATGGTGAAACCCCGTCTCTACTAAAAATATAAAAATTAGCTGGGTGTAGTGGCACACGCCTGTAGTCCCAGCTACTCGGGAGGCTGAGGCGGAAGAATTGCTTGAACCCAGGAGGCGGAGGTTTCAATGAGCCGAGATTGCGCCACTGTGCTCCCGCCTGGTGACAGAGCAAGACTCCGTCTCAAAAA